TCCCTGCAAATGGAAACGGTTTCCAGGACCACCCACCTGCATCCCCCCATTCCCAAAAAAACACCCACATCCAGGGAAAGTGCAGACTGACAGATGGATGCCATCTTCCAGAGGAGCTTTGGAATTCAGAATGCAGCAGGAGATGAAAAATCCAAAGAGAAAAGATCCAAAAAAGAACGAGAGCAGATGGCTTTGCTTCCCAAACCTACGGGCAGATATTAACGCCATTCTCTGCCTTTTAGCTACTCCCATCTTTATCCCCCTTTGTTTTTTTCCCTGCAGAAATTAACCTTGGCTAAGAAAAGAAAGCTTGGGATGGTTTTATTTATGGGTAGGTAAAATAATTTGCCTCGGGTTTTAAGGTGAATAACAGGGTGAGTGCCTAGTTCAGGCTATTGCATGGAAAAAACATCATTGGAACCCACAGAAATTAATTGTCTTTTTTTATTGTTGGAGTTTCTTAAACAAATATTTAAATGCAGACATTTCTTTTTAGTGCTAAGGTAAAAACAATCTGATTATTTTTTCCCTTCTCAGCCCCTAAAGCAGTGCAGTGTCAGTCTATTCCTCATTGCAATGAGGAATCAATCATCAAATTATGAGATGTGGGATATTGAAAAGCTGTGGGGTTCATACAAATCATTGGGAATAGCTAATTCCAATATTGCTGAAGGGGAAAAACTCAACAGGCAGCCAGAGCTGTGCCCTGTTTGGCTTTTCATAGGTGTAGCACTGTGAGAAACCAGAAATAAATCCAAAAATAAAAGTACACCTCAGTTTTTCATACGTGTAGCACTGCGAGAAACCAGAAATAACTGCAAAAATTAAAGTTACACCTCAGTTTCTCAATGGGGAAGTAGGTGGTGAGGTAAGGCGGGATGTGCTTTGTGCCAGGAATTCTCGCTGAACGTGTCTTGGCACCGAGCACTGGGAGCAGGCTTGGGCAAAATCACCTTTTGCCTTCAGAAAAGGGAATAAAGGCACTGCAGTGCCAGAGTCACATGAAATCGGGTGAGCTGGGTGGATTCCAGGAGAAACAAACTCACTCCTGCACACCTGGCTGCCTTCCCCTTTGATTTCATGGCATGATCCAGCCAAAATGGGTGGGAAAAAGTAGAAATGGCCCTGATTTCCTGCCAAGTTCATGCCCCAAATCCCTGATTTTTGCTCTGCTGTGAACATTCCCTGATTTTCTTCAGGAAGCAGAGCTGGGTTGAGGCAGGGCCCTGTTTTATTCCAGCAGCTCTTTGGCTCAGGTGCGAACCTGCAGCAAACCCTTCCTCACCACGAGCTGCAGGATCCAGTGAATCCACAGAGGTTCACGGATGGAAAATAAATTTTCAGAGTTTCGAGGAAAATTCTGCTCCTCAGAGCAGCAGGCTGAAGGTGCTCGGTGGGAGCAGGAGCTGTCTGAAGACTTAAATCCAAACCAGTCCAGCTCTCCAGAGAGCCTGAAAGGCTTTGGGACACAATTCCCGATTTTTTTCCTTAATGAACAGGAGCTCCATCAAAGGCCGGGAGATTGAGGACAAAGAGCAGCTGATGTGGCTGCTCCAGCCGGGATGTGCCCGGAGGCAGCTGCTTCCACCCGGGAATTGCAACAGCAATTGAGAATCATCGCATCACTCTCTTCCCAGGAGCCTGGGGGGAGAAAAGTTCCCTCCTTCCCTCTCTGAGTTGATGAGGATGCTTCCTGTTTAGTTCTCTGATCAAAGAATAGAATGTATAAATAAACACAATGGGGAAAGATCATCCAAGTAATTTGGTTTGAATCTTACCAAGTCACTTCCCGAATGACAGCCAAATGTCGGTATAAAATAAAATAATTTGGTTTATAATTTGGTTTATTATCTCCTGGTGCTATGAGGTCTCAAATTGGAGCTCTGTTCCGCGGTGTGTTTATGATTTGAGTTACTGCTCTTGCTTTGCAACCAAAAGTGAGGATTTGTTAAGAAAATTATTTGGAATGGGGGAAAATCTTCTCATTCCTCCTGTCCTTTGATTTTCATCCCCTGGAGGATGGAAGTTGGCGGTCGGAACGAGATGATCTTTAAGGTCCCTTCACAGAACACCTGAGAGGCAAAGCGGAGGACAAGGAGAGTTCCTCTCTTCCTAAACATTTCTCTCTTCCTTCTCTTGGCTTTTCCAAGACTTGGCCTGAATCACTGAAATCAGTTTGGCTGCCACGCCTCCTCTTGCCCTTGTCCTCTTCCTTTTTTCCTGCTGGAGTTGTTCACCGAGCGTTTTTCTGAAGCACATCCCATCTAACAGAGAGCCTTTTGTTCCGCTCGATGTCATAACTTGCACTGCTTCCTTGGGCAAGAGCATGAAAAGAGTCTTTTAATCTCCCCGTGTTTATTTTTTAATAGGGAACACCATAATCAGTAGGTGGAGGTGACTTTTCATCTCAGGAGCTGCGAGGGGGGAAGGAAATTTGGAGATCATTTTTTGGGGCGCTTACAGAGGGAGCTGCCCACGGGCACAAACGCTGGATCAGAGCGAGTGAGTTTCTTTTTCTGTGTTATCAGGAGTTGTTGTAGGGATTTTGTTTTTTTCTTCTGTTCTCCAGCTCTGCCTCTTCATGATTTTAAAGCTCACGGGATCATTTAGGCTGGAAAAGATCTTTGGGATCATCGAGTCCAACCTGTGGCCGACCCTCATCACCAGAGTTGAGTGTTGTTTCCTTGGACGCCTCCGGGGATGGGGACTCCAAACCTCCCTGGGCAGCCCCTTCCCACGTTTAACAGCTTTTCCATGAGGAAATTCCCTGGGGTGTCCAGCCAGAAGCTCCCCTGGCACAGCTTGAGGCCGTTCCCTCCTGTCCTGCCCCTTCACCTGCAGCTGTGTTTGCGCACCTCGAGGTGCTCCAAGGTCTCTTCTCAGCCTCTGCAGCTCCGCCAAAACCAAACAGATCTTTCAATGAGGGAAAAACAGCAGGAAAAGAGGAAATTTGGGAACATCTTTTCCAAGAGAGGGGTGTATCAGGTGAAGGGAGGGGGAAAATAGTCAGAACTTGAAATTTAGTGAAATTTAATGAATTTTGTGAAAACTTGCAGTGGTGGGAGGCAAAACTTTGGGATTGGGGTAGGCATGAGAACAGGAACTGTTTTCTGTAAAGTTTTACCTTAATATTCTGATTTTCAATGCTTTTTGAAAAGAAGGGAAGTTGAACTCTTACCAGAATAAAAGTGGAGTTCTTATTTTTCCCTTTCTATCAGGTAAAAACTTTTTACCTCCAGCTTTTCCAGGCAGGTGTTGTAACTCCCTGGAATCAAATTCTTGGATCTGTGTGGTCAAACAATGGCTTTAACTCTGCTGTAGACAATAAATACTCACAAATAAATTTATAAATAAAAATAAATCTGCCAAACAGAAGAAATTCTTTGAGTAACGTGAGCCTGTAAATGTAAATATTTCCCAACTGCTGCTGCCTCTTTCCTGGTTGATAACACCAGGGAGGCTCATCCTGCTCTTCCTGCAAGTTATTGCTGAATTTCATGGGATGTTTGAGAAATTAAGGGAATTTTATCAACTTGATAAATAATAATGATTTTTTTTTAAAAAAAACAATATTAAAATCATGGTTGTGTCTTCTATTCCCAAATTAACCCTTTGCAGAGGGAAGGAGACTTCTGGGAAGGATTGGAAGAGTAAAGAGGTGGTGAGGGAGAAGTGAAATTTTTCCTTATAATTCCCAGTATTTGCTATTTTGTGGTCACGGAAAATTACCTACTTTTTCCAGTTAGATCAGTTCTTTTCTGTCGTTTTTTGGGGAAAAAAAATGCTGAATTGGTTTAAAAAAATTGCGGCTTGAGAATGTAATCTTTCTGCAGCTCCTCTTCAGCCTCACTTGTAACACGATTTAGGATTTATATGTATTTATACATAGCAGGTTCATTTGTGCCTCAGCTATCGCACTGCAAATTCCAAGGATTAGAATTCCCGCTCCTTAATCCTGCTGGGCTGTGGAGGAAACCCTGGTGTCCAAATAATGGATTTTTCCTAAAAATCTGTGTAGAACAAAGCTATTGATTGAAGCCACTGTCACCTTTTCCCTTTGAGCTGTGATTTGAAATATAAATCAGGAGAAGAAGTGGCTCGTGGAGGTGTTTTTACAGTCCAGGGTTTGTTTTATTCCAGAATTGGAAGTCCTAATGTATTCCAGTATTCCCTAATTCCGCTCTCACGGGAATGTCATCGATCTTGATGATATCCAAAGAGATTGTGAGGCTTTGGATGGCGGTGGGTCCCACAGAGATTTGGGATAAAACATTGATTAATTCTTGGAGAGTTTTAAGGAGAAACCACAAAAACCAAGAGCAGAATGAACCCTCACTGGACAATAATGCGGATTATCACGTGCACCAGCTTCTTCTGAGACATAAATCCCTGTCCTCTTTATTTTTCCATCCTTATCCTTCAGGAATACTCCAGACCAGCTGTATTTGCCTAACTCTGATCGATTTTCTCTCAGAGCTTCCAAGGAGCGTTGCTCTCATTGATACCCAAACCTGTTATAAAGCACCACGGGAGCACGAGGCGCCGCTTATTTATTCTCTTTTATTTTTTCAGGTTTTGATTTCGCGGTGCTTTCTGATGCTCAGGCAAGAAATGACATCTTGGCTGTGCCTTCAGTGTGGTCGCAGCCCTGGAAGTTCTGTGGGAATTTAAAGAGCTGGGATAACGCGTGGGCTGGGAATGTTTTCCTTCCACGGATACCCCTTCTTGAGAGAACTGAAATCCACCCTCAGGGCAGTTTACCCATCTAATTCCCACTGATTTTAATGCAGATGGAGGACATAAATATCCCTTGGGAACATTTTCATTGTCCCCATACTCACCTGTCCTCCTAAAACCCCTGAGTTCTGTCCTGATGATCATTTCTCCCAGCAGCCAGAAGATCGCGGTTGCAATGAGACAAAAATGAAATATCCCACAAAAAAACACTGCTTGCAGCTATCAAATTCTCTTTTATTTTTATTTTTTTTCCTTTGTGCCAGCCCTTCCACCCCATGGTGAACCTGGAATGCTCCCGGGATTTCCGTCCCTTCCTGTGCGCCCTGTACGCCCCGGTGTGCATGGAGTACGGGCGGGTGACGCTGCCCTGCCGCCGCCTCTGCCAGCGCGCCCACAGCGAGTGCTCCAAGCTCATGGAGATGTTCGGGGTCTCCTGGCCCGAGGATATGGAGTGCACCAGGTGAGAAAATACCTCTTGGTTTTTTGTTTTTTTTATTTTATTTTATTCCAGGGTAAAATTTTACTCCCATCCAGGATGTTCTACGTATAAAAAAACGTGTTTGAAACGTTTTCCGTCACGAGGGTTTCCTGAGGTGGGAGGTGAGTTCCTATTTCTGCCCAGGGGATCAGCTGAAAATTGGCTGGGTTTGATGAGGGTGAGATCTCAAAGCTGTTTGCAGAGCATGTGACCCTCGCTGAGCTGCAAACAGCTTTACATTGCACAAATAAATTTATGGAAAATCGATCCAGTGGTGTTCCAAGCTGTTCGAGACAGAATATGCACGAGAGTAAAAAGTGGTATCTTCGTGCTTTGTTGTTTTTTATAAATGGCTCCAATGGTTAATGGAACTGAGGAGCACAAAAAAGAGGAAATAATTTACAGTTGGATTGGAGAGAATGAAAAACAATTAAAATTGTTTTAGTTAAATAGGTCAGAGGATGTTTCTGGGTTACAGGGGTTGCTCCAATCTCTCCTTCGAAACTCCAGCAGTCCTCAGCCTCCAGTCATAACTTTATTTACACAAATATCACCATCATAATTCTATTTATTAATGCTGGTGTCAACCACACAAATATCTTGATCATAATTCCATTTATAAAAACTGGCGTTGCTAGTTGGAATTTTGGTGTCACCTCCTGTCTGAGGGCAGCGACTGCAGGTCCCTAGGAAAGGCTTTAAAATGTTTTTAAAATCCTGCTGCCATGGGCTTGAATTCACAGATTTCCTGGGATAGATTTTGCATCCTTTCCTTCCTTCTTAAAGCCCAAACAGGCTCCTCATTTGTTTTATTTTTAAACTAATTTTATATAGCTTCAAACTTATAATTTTATATACTACAAACTAGTGCAGAATTTCATGGATTCCCCGTGTTTTGGGTTGTCTGCTTTTGCTCCAGTTGGTTTTCCTGAAGTCACACCTAGAAATGAGGTTACCAGTCCTTGTAAACTGTGAGCACATCCCTCGTAAATGCCTCTTTTCAGGTTCCCAGATTGCGACGAGCCCTATCCCCGCCTGGTTGACCTCAACCTGGCCGGCGAGCCCACGGAGGAGGCCCCGATGGCCGTCCAGCGGGATTACGGCTTTTGGTGTCCTCGGGAGCTGAAAATCGACCCGGACCTGGGTTACTCCTTCCTCAGGGTCCGGGACTGCTCCCCTCCTTGCCCCAACATGTACTTCCGCCGGGAGGAGCTGTCCTTCGCCCGCTACTTCATCGGCGTCATCTCCATCGTCTGCCTCTCGGCCACCTTGTTCACCTTCCTGACCTTCCTCATCGACGTCACGCGCTTCCGCTACCCGGAGAGGCCCATCATCTTCTACGCCGTCTGCTACATGATGGTGTCCCTCATCTTCTTCATCGGCTTCCTGCTGGAGGACCGGGTGGCCTGCAACGCCTCCAGCCCCTCCCAGTACAAGGCGTCCACGGTGACCCAGGGCTCCCACAACAAGGCCTGTACCATGCTCTTCATGGTGCTCTACTTCTTCACCATGGCCGGCAGCGTCTGGTGGGTCATCCTCACCATCACCTGGTTCCTGGCCGCCGTGCCCAAGTGGGGCAGCGAGGCCATCGAGAAGAAGGCCCTGCTCTTCCACGCCAGCGCCTGGGGCATCCCGGGCACCCTCACCATCATCCTGCTGGCCATGAACAAAATCGAGGGCGACAACATCAGCGGCGTGTGCTTCGTCGGCCTCTACGACGTGGACGCGCTGAGGTACTTCGTGCTGGCGCCCCTCTGCCTCTACGTGGTGGTGGGAGTCTCCCTGCTGCTGGCTGGAATCATCTCCCTCAACCGCGTCCGCATCGAGATCCCGCTGGAGAAGGAGAACCAGGACAAGCTGGTGAAGTTCATGATCCGCATCGGCGTGTTCAGCGTGCTGTACCTCGTGCCCCTGCTGGTGGTGATCGGCTGCTACTTCTACGAGCAGGCCTACCGGGGCGTGTGGGAGACCACCTGGATCCAGGAGCGCTGCCGGGAGTACCACATCCCCTGTCCCTACCAGGTGAGCAGCACCTCCCAAATCTACACCCACCACCCTTCTCCTCCTGTCTCGTGCAGGGCTGGGCTGCAAATGTGTCCTGAGAACTGCTGGCACTAGGGGATGTCAGTCTTGCTCATACTCCCTAGAGGGTGAATGAATTTTTCAATGTTATTTCAATATTATTTCAATATTTTCGATATTTTTCAGTATTAAGATTCCTTTTATATTCCGAGTATTTACATGTAGGCATGGCCACAGAGCCTCACCTACTGTCGTTCTCCAAGTGTTATCCCACGAGCAAATAGAAAGATTTTATTTTACAAAACACTGACCTATGGACTCTGTAGTCTTATAAATTCAATTTTTAATATTTAAAGTCCCAGAAATTACCAAAGCACAAAGAAATTACTGAGAACGAAGTGAACGTAGAAAATTTGGATTTGTTTGGGGGGGAAAATGAATTCTTTGTGCCCTCCTTGTGGGGAAGGGGTGAAGGTGGTGGACATGATGATGGTGGATTTGAAGCAGTGGAATCACTTGGGATTTGAGCTGATTTGGGCTGGTTCCAGGGACCTTTTGGGTCTCTTTCCACTCAAAGGAGATGTTGGGAGTGGAGTTTTCCCTCCTTGGACTGGGGTTTGTCACAGGTGGAAGTGCTGGTCACACAGAGATGTTGTGTCCTTGGAGATGGTGCCCTTCCCTCTGGGAACCTCCCCCCCAGGCCTCAGGAAGGGCCCTGTGCCCCATCCCCAGCAGAAAAGTCTCCTGCTGGAGCAGCTGAAGGGCTGCAGGGAGCAGCCCTTGGGGGCAGCGGCCGATGAAACCAAAACATCAAATTCCCCACCACGGGGGGATTGTGAGAGCCCCAAGGCAGGAGGGGGCTGTGGCTGCCCTTTGCTCCTGGCCTGCTGGGGCTGAGCAGCCTGGGGGGGTCTAGAGAGGGTTTGTGGGGTG